TAGAGTTCAAGGTCTTGGGGTTTAGGGTTTAGGGTTTAGAGTCTAGAGTTCAAGGTCTTGGGGTTTAGGGTTTAGGGTTTAGGGGTTTAGGGCTTAGAGTTCAAGGTCTTGGGGTTTAGGGTTTAGAGTTTAGAGTTCAAGGTCTTGGGGGTTTAGGGTTTAGGTTTAGGGGTTTAGGGTTTAGAGTTCAAGGTCTTGGGGTTTAGCGTTTAGGGTTTAGGGTTTAGAGTTCAAGGTCTTGGGGTTTAGGGTTTAGGGTTTAGGGTTTAGGGTTTAGGGTTTAGGGTTTAGAGTTCAAGGTCTTGGGGTTTAGAATTTAGAGTTCAAGGTCTTGGGGTTTAGGGTTTAGGGTTTAGGGTTTAGGGTTTAAGGTTTAGAGTTCAGGGGTTTAGGGTTTAGGGTTTAGGGTTTAGGGTTTAGGGTTTAGAGTTCAAGGTCTTGGGGTTTAGGGTTTAGGGTTTAGAGTTCAAGGTCTTGGGGTTTAGGGTTGACAGGGTATGGTTGAGGGTTTAGGGTTTAGGGTTTAAAGTTCACTGTCTGGTGCTCAGGAGGGAATGTGGGAATGGATCCCTATGATAGTCCCTTAAAGTCCCTTATAGTAGTCCCCACAACCCATTCCGCCATTCCCTACCAAGCACCATACTCATCAGACAGTTCAAGGTCTTCGGGTTTAGGGTTGACAGGGTATGGTTGAGGGTTTGGGAATTCGGGTTTCGGCATATGTAAGGGGCTGAAGAAGTATGGCCAATTAGGGTTGAGGGTTTAGCGGTGTAGGCGTATAGGTTACAGGGGCTTCAGTGTTTAGGGTCGAGGAATCATGATTTAGGGTTTATGCCAATGTAGACGCCCGATTTCAAAAAAACAATCTTTCCTTTGATGACACAAACCTAACTTTTCGAACCACGCTTCAACCAAAATATGAAACCCCAAATAATGATGCTCTAGAACCGTTGAATCAACTGACCCTCACAACCATGGTAAAACCCCTACACTGATCCTCCTAAACTACTGTAGACACCCGTCTTCCGTTTTCGGCAAGGGTCCTCCATGCCGACCCAACATTTCGACTAGGTCAGCGATTTTGAGGCTCACGGATTTAGGGCCCTTTAGGGTTGGTTGGTTTCCTGGTTTAGGTTGTGGGGTTCGGTCGAGGGTTTGCGACTCAGAGTTGCGCTCACGACTATACTGTCTGGTGCTTAGTAGGGAACGTGGGAATGGATCCCTATGATAGCCCCTTAAGGTCCCTTATAGTAGTCCCTACAACCCATTCCCCCATTCCCAACCCTAAACCCTAAACCCTAAACCCTAAACCCTATACCCTAAACCCTAAACCCTGAGCACCAGACTGTGTAGAGCCGTAGGGTTGTAATTTATCTGGCACTGGGCCTCTGCTTTTCGAATCTCCGGCCGAAAGGTCCGCGGAAGTCTTTCGGGACGTGTCTACACGCCCCCCTTGGGCGCAAAATCGCTTCTTTTTTGTAAACCCTAAACCCTAAACCCTAAACCGTTTAGGGTTTAGGGATTAAGGTTTTTTTAAAAAAGTGCACTGGTCCCTTTCGCTCCGCCGAGGCAGTAAAAGACCCGCCTGGTGCAGGCATACACTCCAGACGCACAGGGTTTAGGGCTTAGGGTTAAGGGTTTAGGGTTTAGGGTTTAGGGTTTGAAGTTTAGGGTTTAGGGTTTAGGGTTTAGGGTTTGAAGATTAGGGATGCCCCTTAGGGGTTAAGTCACGTCTTTTTTGGACTAGCAATAAAGACGCTATGTCCCAGAAGATGTTGGGGCTCTATGTGTGTAGTTGTCAAAATTATGGTCCCTTTTTGGGTCCTTATTATAATACGGCACCTTTTATTTAGGCTACCCCAAAAGGGACCATAATCTTGACAAGTACCTATGTGTAATAAGAATCAGAAACGTGGTGCCAAGAGCTCGGGAACGGAGCTCCGGGGTCTGCCAAGTTTGGGGTTAAGGGTTTAGGGTTTAGGGTTTAGGGTTTCGGGGCTAGCGTAAGGGCCACCATGGACAGCACTGTCAGCTTCAAAATGAAGGTTACTGTCAGCGCTTTTCTCGCCTTTATCGCTGCTTCGGATTCATTATGGGTTGAGGATTTGGGTGATTCAGCGGTTTCTTTGCAGGGCTTGAGACAAACGCCCAATTGGGCCTTGGGGTAGTAAACATACATACAGTGAGACAGTATTCATAAGTACTGAGCTACGAACGCTTTATCTAAAACACGTGAAAACATGTCTCAAAGAGCAGTGTCCAACCCTGTAGTAGCATACCACGGCAACTAGCAGACTCTGAAGAGTAACACCAACAGAAACCCTTGTAGCATTCCCTCTAGCAACCGTTCTGTTCAAGCTTAGAGTGACCCGTTTACACGCCCTCCTGGGACCAAGGACCCTCAACCCGTAACCATACCCTCTAAACGACTATAGGAACACTTGAAACCAGCCTATGCCGTCGCCCTGAAACCTTCCTTGAACCACAACCCCGACACGCAGAGACAACGCCCCTGCCTGAACGTCCATACCGAGCTGCTTTAACCTGATTTAGGGTCTCGAATCTGGGGTTTAGGGCTTAGGGGTGTTGTTTGCTGTTTTGGGGGGTTTAGAGTGTGCCCTTTTGGTGTTTCTGTACTTTGCTGCTGACATGTAGCACATGTTGAAATAACTCTCATTTTCAGGGTGCTGGCACGGATCCTTATGATAATTTTCATTCTGAGTAGAAAGGAAACCTCGCCACCGAACTCTCGTAAACTACACTCCTGATTCTCAGTCTCTGGGCAGGGTTGACCCAATTCCAAAACTCCGAACCCGCGCAGGGCGGCTGTGTCAAATGCATATGCTGCGATCCGATCGTACCCGATCCCAATACCATGCCAGCCTCACGAAGCATGAAGCGTTCGGTTCGAATACGAGATCACGACCAAGATGGTTTCGATGCGAAAACCACGTAGGCGACGTGAAACATCCGAACACAGCGCTGGCTTTTGCGAGGGATGCCGTTTTCGATCCGAGTACCACATGGGCCACTACAAAACATGCTTTTGTCGATCCGAGTACCATATGGGGGTTTCCGAAAATAGGGGACCCTAATATAGTCCCCTAAATAATAGGATCCTTATTATAAAGGCCCCAAAATAAGGGATCCCTTATTTTCGGAAACTCCCATATAACGCGGAATCCAGACTTCAAAAGCACTGAACCAAGGACTTCCTCTTGGGAATCCTTATACGCCTGATCAGCATCCTGGCTGTCCTTGGGCAAACCCAGAGAGCCCAATACCCCTTACATAAGGAATATACCAGAAATCATAAGATTAAGGCCCCTTTAACTTAAGGTATATTCCTGATTTAAGGGGTATTGGGCCCTCTGGGAACCTGCATGTTTAACGTCTAGAGCTTCGACGCATCGGGAAAGCCTCCTGGGCCTTGCAATCCTTCTAGACAATTCAGAAACCCTAAACGCTAAACCCTA